TAGCTGGGTTCTGGTGGTGCCATATTGCCCTGGCTGTTGTGTTTTTACATTGCCTGTAGTCATCTGGGTTTGGGCTTATTATAGGTTTAAGTGCTTAGGTTCTGTTTCCTTTCTGGTTTTCTGGCCTGAGTGGCTTGGGGTTCTGGTGACCAGTGAGACTTTAGATCCAGTAGGGTGTCTCCACTGAGGTTTTTGCTACCTGCATAACCTCTGGGGTGTTCAATGCCAATGTTGCTTCTAGGGTTCCAAGTACCTACTTTGTAGCCTCTGTGGTTCTGAGTACCTGCTTGGTTTCTGTGGTTCCTATTATATTGTGGCCTCCAGTAAAGCAGAAGTCTTCTGCTTCAGTTGTGGGATATGGAGCCCAGGGGAAGGGGTGCTGTTGGGGGCTGTTGTGTGGACTTAAAGGAGTGTTAGCAGGCAGTGGGCTAACAAGGACTATGGTGTCCAGCTCCATGATAATCCCCTCCCAGGGTCCAGGAAGAATCTACAACCAGCTGATAATTTTATCTTTGATGAAAAGAAATGAATCTATGTACAAGAAACTCCTAAGTCCATACACTTTATTATTCTGTGTCACTTATCTCTCTACACAGCTTCTATTCTGCTCTCATGCCTAGCTCCTTTCTTGCCTGATTTGTCTCTACCTTTATCTGTTGTCCCCTCTAAGTTCTATCTTAATTCTCTCATCTTAGTTCTGCCCCATCTAGGTTCTCATCCATCTAGTTCCTTCCTATCTTAGCTTCTCCCCCATCTCCTTCTCATCTTGTTCTTCCTTGTCTTGTTCTTCCCTATCTGGCTCTTCCTCATCTTCCATCTTGTTCCTCTAGTATTCTTTTTTAGCCCTCTAATCTAGTTCTTCCCCATCTTAGTTCATTCCTCTCCAGTTCTTACCCATCTAGTTATTCCATTTTCTTTTCCTCTCTCTCCTCCTCCTCATCTCCTTATTCTCTCAGTTCTCCCTAAGTCTCAGGAATCCAGTTATAAATTCAAGCAATAGCAACCCTCTGCTGGTCAAGCAAGATCACCAGGCTTGAATTCTTATGGGGTCATAAAGGCAGGTAAGAATCTTCCTCAGGCAGTGACCATCAGGCTTTCTTTTACAACCCAAAAGGGGAGTGGTAAAAGAGGTCATGCTAACGACCAGTTAGTATATCAAAAAGGGATCTATGTGCTCAGTCTACATTCCTATAAGTGGTTAGGTAAGAAGTTAGGAGTCTGTTAGTAAGGTTGTATAAGGAAGGAGGGTCTCACCCTAAATTGCACAAGAAATAAAGCTATCCGCCTGACCTAGGAGACAGGTGTTGTTTCGTTTGGCCTTGGATGCTTGATAGACATTTTAGATAAATACACTATTAGGAGTTCTTGGAAGTACACAAGAAAATCATTTTAGGAACCAGCTAATACATACATACACACACACACACACACAAAGCTAAAACATCACCAAGACGTCTTAAGCCATGGTTTGACCTTTAGAGAAGTCTTTGACTTTTCCAAGTAGTAGCTTTTATGATAGTAGCTGAATTCCATTATTTTCTTGTGGCTTACAGCAATGGGCATTATCTTACCTGTGGTCTCTAGTTGCCAGCATGGCCTCCAATAAAGCAGAAGTCTTCTCCTGGAGTTGTGGTCTAGAATCAAGGGGCTGTATTCTTAAGGAGCTAACATGTATTTATGTATCAGATACCATTCCTGGCACCTTAAACAAAGTGTTCCCTTTATACCAACCGAACTTTAAAATAGTTACTAAAAGTAAGCAAATACACAGAGTAACTTATTCAGGGAACTCCAACCAAAAATATGAACTGTAAACCAGTTGTGTTTTTAAATCTGCGATTTCCATTATAGTACACTGTTATTAATATCTATGGCATAAAATTAACAGCTACATTATTTTCAAAGATGTAAAAAGATTAATAAAATAACTGTGCTAATTTTATGTCAACTTGACCCAAGCTAGTCATTGGAAAGAAGGCACACTCAATTGAGAAAATGCCTCCATAAGACCCAAATTACAGCATTTTCTTAGTGATTGATGGGGGAGAGCCCAGCCCATTGTGAGTGGTGCCATTACTGGGCTGGTGGTCCTGGGTTCTCTAAGAAAGAAGGCTGAGCAAGTCATGATGAGCAAGGCAGTAAGTAGCACCCCTCCCATAAGCTCCTGCCTTGAGGTTCATGCTTTGAGTTCCTGTCCTGACATCCTTCAGTGAAGGACTATGATGTGGAAGTGGAAGCCAAATAAACCTTTTCCTCCCCAGCTTGCTTTTGGTCATGGTGTTTCATCACAGCAATAGTAACTCTAATTAGGACAGGAACATAAATTGTATCCACAATGATAAACTGGTTTGGTTCCAAATTTTCAAAACTGCTTTTATTGTATGACAAACCTGCAGACTTGGCTTTTCAGCATGTCTTTGATGACATTGTTTTAGGCGTCTTTGAAATGTCTTAAATACTGCTTAATGATCATTTTATATGCTATTAAAAATTAAGGATTTTTTTGGCTCACTGCAAATTTCCTGTAACAGCTGTTATTTTGCTGTATTGTCAATAAAATAAGAATTATCTGACAGTTGTAGGTAATTCATCTTTAAAAGCAATAGAATATTGCCTGATGATAGTTTTAAAACATGTCAGAGCTTTGGCCTCTAAATTAAGTCACATGGTCTATACTGTGCTATGTAATAGCAGATTAGTACTCAGAGTATCTAAAGAGGGTATTCTGAAATAGACATCTTTTCCAAGCTGAGAGGATATGGGAAAGCTGACATTCTTTGTCAAATTTAGGGTTAAGAGTTCTAAGAAAATTAGCATTGACCTGAACATTGAGAATGAAGAATTATTCCCTTTGCCACTTAACCACTAACCCTTCCTTGTACCTGCGAATGTTTTTCATGTGAAATCTGTGATCTTTGGGTTCACTTTTGTTTCCTACATGCAAGTGTTATAAAGTGTTTATATACAGGTGTTATAAATTTCCTGCTCAATTCCTGCTCATAAAACTAGGGCAGAGAAAGTGAGTGCAGAATTAGATGGAGGAGCTACACAGTGTGTCCAAGTTCCTCTTGTCTGCAATATTGTCCCCTCGAAAAAGTCTCTTGGCGTTTACAGGGAGAGGAGCAGGAGAAAACATCACCTTTGATGAAATGATATAGATATAATTTAAAAGCATACAACTCACTGCTTTTTAGGGTGTGCACCACCATCACCAGTTTTAGAACATTTTCATCATCTCAACTTCATACACTTTAGCTTTACCTCTCTGCCTGCTTACTAGCTCTAAGAAACCACGGTGGAGCTTGTCTCTATGGATAGGGCCTGGACATTCCACCATAAAAGAAAGTTTTTGTGTGTTCTGCTTCACTTAGCATGTTTGCAGGCTTATCCATGTTGTAGCATGCATCATTCTTTCATTGGTTTTGGCCAAATGAATTTGACTGTACAATACTATTTGTTTATCGATTAATCAGTAATGGCTAATTTAATTGCTCCCACCATTTTCATTTCTTATGTATATATAAGAAATAGGAGCAAAATCACTGGATCATGCAGTAACCACTTAACTATTTGTGGAGTTGCCAGACTGTTCCAAGATAGCTTTGTCATATATCCTTCCTAGCATTCAATAATGGTTCCTAATTCTTTTGACTTCTCAGTACTTAGAATTTTTAATTGTAGCCATATTGGTGTGTATAAAGTAGCATCTCACTCTAGTTTTCATAATCCTCAGTAACTCTTTTTTGTTTTGTTTTGGAGACAGGGTTTCTCAGTGTAGCCCTGGCTGTTCTAGAACTCACTCTGTAGAGCAGGCTGGCCTGGGATTCACAGAAATCCACCTTCCTCTGCCTCCCAAGTGCTGGAATTAAAGGTGTACACTACTACCTCCTAGCCCTAAGTAATGTTTACTGACCATTTGTATATATTTCCCTTGGAGAAACACCCATTCAGTTCTTTGTCCATCTTTCAATTGGGTTGTAAAGGTGTTTTTGTTTTTGTTTTTTGTCATATTCTGGATACAAGTTGCTTACTAAATAATAGGTGTCATTGTTTTATCACATTCTGTCAGCTGTCTTTCCTTTCTTGTGTTATGTGAACACATATTTTCAATTTGTGTAACATCTATTCAGTTTTTGTATTGCTTGTGGTTTAGTGTCACAGCTAAAAAACCATTGCCAAAGCGGGTGGTGACCTCTCTCAGCTTCCCTCTAAGTTTTGTCATTTTCATTCATGTACAGTATACAGTGCACCAGTGTTCACATTGTATGAGCTCAGGGTTCAGTTCCATTCTTTTGGTATCCCCTTTGTTGAAGAGGTTTCATTTTTCTGGAGTCTTACTGATGTGACCCTTACACAGTAGAGCAATGTCATCATTCTTCTGTGGGTTTTTGACCCTTTCTTAGGAAACTGACAATTAAGGAATTAATTCCTAGTCAGAAGCCATTCAGTCTTTTAAGGTATCCTGTCTATCTCCGGAAATGCTCAATATGAAATCCCAAGTGTATCTTAAACATAGTCCTATTCATTATGATACTCAGTTGTACATCATAGAGTAACAATTATTGTTGGTCATAGTTTCATGTCTTATCTCAGAAGCCAGTCTTATATAAATATATATATTTGTACATATTTGTATAAATATGCTTCAAAACTTTAACATGAATATTTATAGGATGTAGTACGGAAGTATATAGTTATTCACATTTAGTCATCTTTTTTTTCATTCAAATGTCAATTATCATAAAAAGAGAATTTTTTAAAAGAGAAAGAAGTGAATACTGATTAAGGCAACACTTTGCACAATTTAAATGTTTTGCTATAAAAAGTCTTCACATACTTATTTCAGTTATGGTTTGTCCTGCACAAAACCAACACCTTGTTCTTTAATAAAATTCTAAGACTATATAATGGAGAATATAAAACTCTATGGTTCTATAATAAACTCTTAAGTGCATAAAAACAATTTAAATGACTTTAAAATTCCAATCTTTGTTTTTCAGAACATATTTTCTGAGTTTATCACAATTGAAATGTTATTTCATGGCAAAGCTTTAGAGGTCTTCACTGCTGCATACCAAAATATACAAAAGATTGATGAGGATGAAGATCTAGAGGTAGGTCTACATCTAAACTCAATTCTTCTGCTAGTGTGGAAATGTTTGAGTTTGAGTTTGTATAGGTAATTATGTTGTTGTGTGTAACCCAAGTAACTGGTCTTTTGTGCTTTTCCATTTATGCATTGTTAACAGATGACACTCTCTTCAAGTACTCAAGCTAACGTTTAATCTTTACTCCTACCATGTTTTCTTCTTTAAAAGATTATCAGGCTTTTACATGACAATAATAGTAGCAAATATTTAGGTAATCATCACTTTGAACAGATCCGTGTATCCTAACTATGCTAATTAATCCACCAACGTTAATAAAACTTGTCCTCATTCTAAGGATGAGAAAAACTGAGAGTGAAGAAATTTCCCAGAGGTTGTTCTCTAGTTAGTGGCACAGGTGGGAGTGGACTCCAGCAGTCTATCAGAATGCTGTTCTCAAGGCTTTGTACTCAAGGCTACAGCGATAGTTGAGGACGGGTGACTTATACCATTTCCTGCATCGAGTAGCAGGCTCAAGTGATCTACTTTTCCTGCAAAACTGGAGTCCCCTTTCCAAGTACAGTCTCCTTTTTCTAACATTCCTGACCTGTGAACTGATACTCAAGTTCAGTTCTCTGGCCCTTCAAATTGTCCTCCTCATCCCAGAGTCCCTAGATATGTCCTTTAAAGTCATCACGGCTCTTACTCAGCTAGCTAAGTAGGTTGTGTAGAAAAAAACAGATGAAAAACTAAAGGTTTCAGTGTTGTGTAGCAGATGTATTTTTGAACAGTTTCCTTCACATTCCAGTGGAATAGTACTGAATAAATTAACTTCTTTACTTCATCTTCATGATAAAGTAAAAATTATGCCACTTACCTCCTAAGATGTCCAAGCAACAACTGGTTTGTTCAGCACCTATTATGCCAAGCACCATTCTAAGTACTAGGATCATGAATAAGAAATAGTCCATATTGTCAAACCAAATTACAATCTACCAGTGTTATCAAAGAAAACAAAAATTCTATGTAGCCATTAAAATTTTATAATTCAGCCAGTCCCATAACATGTGGGGTGTGTGATGGAAAGTTCCAGTCTTAAAGACAAAGGAGCTTGAGATGAGGATCCCTAGCAAAACCCTTATGATGGCGTAGATAATACAAAGGTCCTTAGGCTGTTGTGAACGAAGAGCAATGTACTTTAAACAACATTTAGCATGAATGAATGGAAACATGACCCTCCACCTATACCATCTAGCATACGTGACTCTGGGACCAGGGGAAGTATAATAATATGTGTTCATATAACCTAAAGATTTCTTGAAAACAAGAAAAATGCAGAGGGACATAACTTGTTTTTCTTCATAGTCATACTTTATGAGAACCATACATTTATTTGTGCAGCAGCTAACTTTTTGCACTTATTACAAACTACCTTGTTCCTCACATAAATAGTATTTCTCAGGCCCACTTCAACAATAATTACTGTGCTTTCATTTGAGAGGATATCCAGATCTTGTGATTGCTCCTTGATTTTTGGATCATGTTGAGAAATACACTGTCAATACATTCATTCTTCTGTAAATCTGTTGTTTTTACAGCAAAAGGTTTCGTCTTAATATTTGTTTAAAGTTTATCTCAAGGATTCCATATCATGTTTCTTTTTTAGAAAAGTTTAGTGTTCAAACAAAAATATATTCCCTCTCAATACTAGGTGACAATGAACCACCCATCTGTTATACCTGGATGTCAGTCAGTGTGACCTCAATGTAAAATCTGCTAACTTAATTATTCAGCTACTCTGAAATACAGTTCTTATATCCTAAATTGTACCCCATGATTCCATTTGTATTCTGCAGTAGTGGAAGGCTTACAACAGTGGTTCTCAACCTGTGGGTCATGACCCCTTTGGGGATGAATGACCCTTTCACAGGAGTCACCTAACACCATCAGAAAACAGATATTTACATTACGATTCATAACAGCAAAATTAGTTATGAAGTAGCAACAAAATAACTATGGTTGGAGGTCACCACAACATGAAGAACGGCTAAAGGGTCACTGTATTAGGAAGGTTGAGAACCACTGGCTTAAAAGAATGTAAGGGACAGTCCTTAGTTTGGTTCTTTACTTCCACAAAATGGGGATTATGTTTGTGTTAGCATCATGGGGCAAAAGTGAATTTAATTAGCACCATTTATTTGGAAGAGTGGCAAAGATAAAACAAGGTTTCTTTCACGAGAAACTTAAAGCTAGTTGTGGAGCCATCTGATTAAAGATAGTAACATAACAATTACCCTTGAGAGTAAGAATAGGAGCCGCTGGCTACTGGAAAGGGGAAAGATAACATTTGACTTGGCTCTTAAGGATTGGTAAATTTGTAGAGATGTCCTGCTGAGGAACCAGCAATAAAGAGGCACAGTATCGTGTCCATTCCCCCACATAAGTTAGTTCTGTAAGTTTGAGTGACACTGGGCTTCTGAAGGTCACCTGAAACATTTGACTCTGGTAGCTAAGAGCCACAAAAAGGGTTTTTAGTTGAGGATATTTTGTCTGCAGTAATATCAGGTTAAACAGGCTGTGAAGAAAGGTATATAGTCAGTATGTAGAAGTACTTCAGCTAAGAAATTAAGGTTTTGCCCATACTGCTAGGTATAAAGCCTTTCATTATAAAACTGAGGCTACACCCAATATAATAGGACAAGTTTTATGTGGCTCTCTTAAAAAAAAAAAATCAAAATCCCACACAGACCATTCCAAGTGGTTAGAGCCACACATTGCTAGGGCCTTTTTGGCCATCAAACATTTCCTCATCTCAGAACATGTCTTTGGACTCTATTAGTCTATAATAAAAGGTATATGAAGTATACAGAGAATTCATTAGTTGGCAAGACATTAAACACTGCAAAGGAAAAATTAAGTGACCAAAACCCTTCAACCATATTTAAGAGGTAAGCAGTAGACGAGATAGGCACTTTCTGCATGATTTGGCTGTGAACAGGTGAAGCAAGATAGCAGTGACTTGTGACATCACGGGAAGAGGGAAAGTTGGGGTTGAGGAAGATAAAGATTTAGGGATTCTGATGAGCAACTGTTGTGGGATGAATGTCCAATTCTAGTCGCAGGGGGCAGGTGGTTGAAGTAAAAAGTAACTGGTCAGGTTTTTAAAAGTTATACCTTGAAGTAATAAAATAAGGAAAAAAAGACTGAGTAGATGCTTGTTTCTAGAGCAGTGATTCTCAATCTGTGGATGGCAACCCCTCTGAGTTTCAGAGGGTCGCCTACGACCACTGGAAAACACAGATATTAATGATTCATAACAGTAGCAAAATTAGTTATGAAGTAGCAACAAAAATAATTTGATGATTAGGGGTCACCACAACCTGAGGAACTGTATTAAAGGGCCTCAGCATTAGGAAGGTTGAGAACTACTTTCTAGAGGAAACCTATGGAAACCAGTGAAGGCCAAATACACATTGGAAAAAATTAGAATCAAGAGTTTGGAAGGAGGTGTTTGACTCTTTATCTGTTAGAAATATGGGGTAAGTATAAAAGATAGGAAGGCCTGAGAAACACTGACAACATTTGAGTGCTGACAAGTTTAGATTCAAATGATATTGGTATCCATGTTAGGGTTAGGGTGGCTCCACTGTAAACTGTGCGCAGTGACACTCCTACAGTGAGTAGGCAAAGCAAAAGGAACCAAAGATAAATGTGTAACACACTAGTTTGCCATTGCCTCAATCAAATGATTTTATTTACTACTGTACATCTTTTATCAACTTGCATGATTCTAGTGGAATTTTATCCTTTTCCAACTTGATTAGATTTGTAATTTTTCCTCTTAAGCTTACAATAACTCACATTTAAGAATGTAACTTGTTTATCTAGATGTTCATTTAGCATCTACTTTATAATGTTGTTTTACATTGCAATAGGTTTTCCGAAATTCTCTGTATCTACCAGATTATCCATCTCGTTTAGATATTGTAAGAGCAAATTCAAAGTCACCTCTTCAGAGATCAGTATCAGCTAAATGCACATCTGGAACTGGACAGGTGAGCTGAAAAAACTGTAAAGGAATCTGAGTTGCCACCTTTGGAACTGTTGAGTACTAAAAGGGTTTCTCTTGCTATGTGACCTCAATGTATTAATTATTTCTGGCCATAGTTTCTCCTCTGAAAATGATGAAAAGTTTCTATAATCACACTCGACTACTCTGTGAGGCAGAACACTGAAGAAACAAATAGGAAAGACAAAATAATGCTAATGTAGATTTGTTGTGTCTAGTATCAAATTTGAAAATCAAACAGTGAGTTTAACTAATCTGTGTAGAAAATATACCAAACGTGTCTTTGTCTAAATGTTCATGGACCCAGACACATAGCTCTTTAGATCAACAGTCACAACCATAACTGTAATGTGCTAAAATCTGATATTGCCCCAGAATTTTAAAACTGAATAAAACAATCTCAAAATACAATTTTAGGTAAAATTGCTAAAGGTCAAACTTCCTGCCACTGGATTCTGTGCATTGTTTGTTTTATATTATCTCTTCCCCTTAGCCAAATTACATTTCTATTATTTTAGCCTTGACACACATAATCCATACAAAATTCTATTTAGAGCTAAGTGTTGTATACTAGGGTATTTTTAATACTTACTAACTTGAGATCAGGTACTTGGGGGTTGGGTAGAGATACTGTCTGTATGTGTACTGTAAAGATGTTGAGTAACGTCTGTCATTAGCAATCCATATCCACAGTGTGACCACCTCTAATGTCCAAACATTGCCCAGTGTCTCCTGGGTAGCACAGAAAACCCTAAGAGAGGTTGACCCAGTAAGATAGCTAAGAATAAGATGTACAGCAAGTGAGTTGGTTCTCAACTCATTCCACATTATTTCTATTGTCAGTATTGCTAACTGACATCCACTTGATGATTTCATTCAGATACTGCAAGGATTGTTTAACTTACTTTAACATTCACAATACACAGTAATGGAACTTGATGTTACTGAAGCATACTACTGGAATCAAATATGCTTAACTTCATATACTGATAAATGGAGACTTCGATCTTAAAATTCACAGGGACCTTAGTCATTTTCTGAAACAGTTGTTCTACATTCCCTTTCCTATAAGGACACGTAAAAAAGATGCCAAATATGTAAAAACATGTTTTTATTTTTTCATGTGTTAATTCTTAACAGATAACCACCTGTCGAACAAGGAAAGACCAACAAGTAGAAGATGAAGATGATGAAGAATTAGATGTGACAGAAGATGAAAACTAATTTTAAGAAAACTTCACATTTCCATTTTCATGTTAAATGGCTTGAAATCCAGGATCACTTTATACTCACTTGACAGGTTAAACTTCAGAATGATACACTATTATGAAATGGGGAGGGAGGGATTAAAGGAAATTATGCTCACAAAAAAAAAAAATGATTTTTTTTAATGTTATATACCAGTCTTTTGTTGTTTTGGTTTTTGGTTTTTTTGTTTTATTTTTCGAGACAGGGTTTCTCTATGTAGCCCCTGGAACTCACTGGGCATCCTGGAACTCACTCTGTAGACCAGGCTGGCCTTGTGAACTCACAGAGATCTGCCTGCCTCTGTCTCCTGAGTGCTGGGATTAAAGGTGTGCATCACTATCCAGCTCATACCAGTCTTTCAACATCCTCTCTATAGTAGTGTATTTTTCTGTATATGTTCTATTAAAAAAAGGATTATGTATTTCAAAGCATTTCAGATTTAATGCAGTATATATACACCTATTAAAGATGCAAAAGGAAGCGGGTAACAACAGACTGAATAATTCCTTTCAGTTTCTTTTAGGTTAAAACTTTGGGTTTTAAATACCAGGTCAGTGAATAATTCTGTCATAATGCTTTACATAAAAAGACTGCTTCTTTTACTTTTATTATAACCTTATGTTTCACCATTTGGTATGTAAATTTAGTGTTTTCAGCAAAAATGTAGCTAAATTAAAGGTATGGGACACTGACATTGTATTTTATAAACATACATAATGCTTAAATTTCCAACTTAAAAAGGCCACATTCAACCTTACTGGTTTTAAAACAAAACTGCTCTCACTCTAAAGCACTGTATATTCTACTTGTACAAGTCACTAATTCTTGGAAGGCAAGTAATTAGAAATTTGCTTCCCTCATCACTGAATGCCATAAACCACTACATACACTCTAATGAGGCCACCAGAGTCAATAAACATGTATATACTTTATTCCTAAATCCATAAACTTACATTATATCTGACATTTCTTTTTCTTTTGGTAAAGAATTACGCTTTTAAAATCTCAAAGCAATTATTTAAAACAGAAAAATTTAAAGTATTGCTTCCTGAGAATACTTTTAAGATTACTTTGGTACTTTTTCTCAGAATACTTTAAAGCCCTAGGTAGTTAAGGAGTTGAGATTATTACTCAATTTTTATATTTTTGGTCAGTATTCAAATTTGATGTTAGGGTTGAGAGTGGAAACAGCTACGGTATTTCTGTTGCTGCTCAATAAATAGTAACATCTCTCAAGCAGCAACTGCCTCATCTGTCAAGTTAATGCCTAATACAGCCAACAGTTCTGGTTTTACAGCTGCTGCTGGTACTTCAGAGAATGTTCTAAGAACAAGAGCTAAGTATGGGGATACAAGCCCGTTATGCCACCACAAAGAAGGCACAGGCAGGAGGATCAGTTGTTCAAGGTCATCCTTGACTTCAGTTGAGTTCAGGACCAGCATGGTCTACAATGATACTGAAAAAAGAACATTAAGATTACTTACACCTGGCAGCGGTGGCATATACATTTAATCCTAGCTAGTTCTTGGGAGGCAGAGGCAGGCAGTTGTCTGTGAGTTCAAGGCTAGCCAGGTGCACAGCAAGTCCAGGACAGCCAGGGCTGTTACACAGAGAAACCCTGTCTCAAAAAAACAAATAACAAAGAAGAATGTATACATATACGTATATAAAAACAAAAGGAATATTACACCACATTTTACTTTTTGTGGGCAATAAGGCAAAAACAAGGCCACCATGACTATTTATACAACCAGTTTGGATATAACTACATTTAAGAATGTGACAACTGGGCTGGGGATTAGCACTAGCCTAGCATGCGTGATGAAAACCTGGGTTCAATTCCCAGGACAAAAATTCAGCATGTTAAATAGCCCATAATTTGGCATCTCTAATAAAAATTATGATTATCAATGGTAAGGTCATTCTCAGCTGCTTAGATGAACACTTCTACGATGGTTTTATATATCTTAAACGATTAACTTTACTTTCTAGACATGTTTTATTATTTTTGTATACATTCTGAACAGAAAAAGGTATGATTTGAATGCAAAATGACACTGGGTGTTGTGTTAAGAGAACCAATACACTCCCAGTGTACCTTCTGTTGGGAAACAGAAGACTAGCCCATGGAATTACTGAAGCTGGGTGATCAAAACACGAAGCTTTAGGACTATTTGTTCATGTGTCTGAAACTGTAGTGTACAGTTCCCTGGGCTTGGCAAACAAGGGAAATCTCTGACTTGGTATAAATATTAGCTACTACCATGGCCAAGTGAAGTTAAATCAACATGTTACTCAAGGCAGTATTAGAAAGAGGTGTGCAAAAATGGCTCCCGTACCATTGTTTAGGAAACAAGTTTTCTATACATTTTTATAATGAAGTTTACAAAATATTAAACCTGGAGCTGAACAAGATGGCTCAGTCTGTAAAGTGTTTGCTGCACAACCATAAGGCCTGAAAGCACTGAGGAGGCAAATACAGGAAGACCCTGGGGGGTTGCTGGCCAGTCAATCGAGCAAGTTTCAGTGAGAGACCGTGCCTCATAAAAAAGATGAAAAGTGTTTAAACAAGACACCATTATCAAACACTAGCCATTAACACACTAAATGTGAATTCAGCCTGATAACCAAGATAAAATAGCTACAGTACTTCATTTGACAATCAAGGCATGGGAATGGAGAGATGGCTCAGCAGTTAGGAGCCCATACTACTGTTGCGGAGGTTCAGTTCCCAGCACTCACAGCGTAGCTCATAACTGTCTGTAGTTCCAGTTCCAGGGGATCTGATGCACTCTTCTCAGCTCCACAGACACATGGTACACATACATACGTGCAAATCACTCACACATATGAAATATAAATAAAAATCAAGACACAGTGCTGTTTCCCAGCTATTCTCTTGTCCACCACTCCCATCCCACCCCAGCCCAATTTGAGAAGCAATTACATATTCAGTATCTTTCACTTCAAGCTTTATCTTATTTGTATCACTGTGTATTAGTCTGGCAAGTATTTACAGTCTGACAGGTCTGAGCACATGAACCATCTATGTATCACTGTGCTTGGCTTAGGAATTCAAATTTTTCATTCTACCTGTAAAAGGTTATTAGTTTTAAGATTCACAGTGTGGTTTTTTCAACAAACTTTATCAATTTATTCTATTTAATTATTAACTATTAAAAATGACATTAACTATTAAAAACAAAAACTTATGCAAGCTTCTCTTAGATTTCTTTAAATCACTGAATGTTAATTCAAGATACTGAAAGGTTTTTACTTCTGCATTAGCTAAAAATTTTATTCACAATTACTCAGTGAGGGAAATGTCTTGATGAAGAAAGTAGGTAAAACTGTTTCATATAAACTATAAAAATCATAAATCAAATTAGATAAAATGAAGAATTTTGAATTGGAAGCCTAGATGTATATATATAATGTATCCCAAGAGAAACTATAAAAACTTAAGTCATTTTTCTCTTTAATTTAGTTTACGATGTTTAAGTATCATACTTTTAATCATACTTTAAATGCACCTTTAAAAACAAAATAGAATAAAATATAATTTACTCCTGAAAATATTTTTAGCATGGTCTTACTGAAGTTAAAAATTCCATGTAACAAAGTGACGCAGCAAAACTATTTATGGACATAGTATAATCAGAAGTCTGCTTCTAGGTTTTGAAATTGGTTCCCTAACTTCGTTTGACTTTGGGCAACTTGCTTAACCTCTCTAAACTTTTCTCATTTGTGAAATAGAGACAATAGAGATCATACATATAAAGCACTTATTGCCTAATAAATTATGTGTCCATTGTCAGCTACTTCTATTATTGTGGGAAAGGAAAATATAAGTATAAGCAAAATATAAACATTGAGTATCAAAGTCAAAAATTCACACTCAGAAATCTTCTCTTTAGTGAGTCTGTAAATAAATACAAAGTTTTGAAGCTAAAAAGGAAACCTAACGAGTCACCAGTAAGTTCTTCCTAGAAAAAACTATATTCATTTGTCATATTCTTCCCAGCCTGAGAATTACCCTTTAATCCTAAACAAATTATTTTACTGCCTTTTGAACATTGTGTGTTAATCTTAGCAATCTAGGATAAGCCCTAGGCCCCCAGTGCTTAGAATAAAATGATGCTGAAGAAATCAAAGACCTGTAGGTTGTTATTATTATAGATTATTTGGTCCCACTCACCATATTGTTTTAATACAACTGTTGAGAAATTTTATAATACCGAGCTGCAATTCTGTCTTTGTTCTTGTTATACAAATACAAGTTAATAAGTATTTCAGTTGCAATTTTATTTTTATAAAACTTTTCAAAGTTATGAACACAAATTATGAGAATTTCCTAAGCCTTTCACATAAGTAAATTTCAAGTTCACAGTATGTTCATTTTCTGAGCTATTTAGAGTGAATAGGAGACCTTAACACAGTATCTCAAACACTAGGGAGTTCTGCAAGCAGGTAGCAATGGAAGTGCCAGATCTGAACCATCAGTCATCCATCCTTTCCTTACACAGTCTGAGTAAAAGATGGTGAAAACAAAATTAAATTTACCTTCCCCCAACATAACTCCACAGTTCACAAGACTGGGGTTTATCCATAACATCAGTGAAACTAATGAATTCAGGAAATTTGTTTTCTCTCCCCTAGCAAAGAAAAAAAAAAAAAGCATATGTAATTTTAAATTAGGGAGAAAAAGAATGTCCATTTGTAAGCAAAGGAAAACCAGATTTATACAACATTTTGTCTACTCACAGGTTAAAATTAAAATGTTTAATTAGATAATGAAAAATAAACTTTAAGAAGCTGTAGTTTTACTGCATCAATACTGTGGAAGAAAACTATGGACTCAGAAAGGCTCTCTAAAGCAAAATGAGCTTAACTTTGCGGGGACCGACTGGTCTACCATTTAGTTCTTTAATAGCAGCTATAGCTTCATTATAATTTATCATAGCAACAATGGCTTCTCCTATGGGTAACCCTTGCTCATTATACTGTATGGAAACTGAGTCAGGTATGACTTTGTAACCATGGAAAAAGTCTAAAATTTCATTAGCATTGGCTTTAAATGGAAGATTCATGATCTTAACAGGAGTTATTCTACCTGAACCACAATTTAATTTTGCATCAGGCATAAATCTTCCCTCAGGAAAGCATCCCATATTATGCTTTCCAAAATCAAACTTTCCACTTTCTAAGTGACCAAAGTTTATAAAAGGACGGTGACCTCTGAAATCAGGTGAGGTCCAAAAATCCTCACCAGGAGGTCTAAAACTGTCAGGAAACCTAAGGTCCTCCTCTGGTACTTCCCTAAGGTCTTCCTCAGAGAGCTGCCTGAAGTCCTCATCAGTGGGACATCTCAAATCTTCTTCTTGGGGGGTCCTGAAGTCCTCATCAGAAGGGTGCCTAAAGTCTTCATCTGCCACATGCCTGAAATACTCCTCTCGGGAAAGCCTGAAATGTTCTTGGGGTGGCCGTCTATAGTGCTCCTGGGATGGCCTCCTGAAGTGCTCCTGAGGTGCCCGTCTGAAGTCTTCCTCCCAAGGGTATCTGAAATCCTCCTCTGGTAGCGGCCTAAAATCTTTTTCATGAGAGTGCCTGAAATCATCTTCCGGGGACCATCTCCAATCTTCCAGAGGCTGTCTCCAGTCTTCCTCCCTAGAGCGCCTGATGTGTTCTTCCTGGGGGTGTCTATAGTCATCTGGAGAATGTCGGAAGTCCTCAGGAGAGTGTCGGAAGTCTTCTGGAGGGTGCCTGTCAGACTGCTGGAAATACCTGTGGGGATGCCTTAAGTCTTCTGGCTGGTAACCAACGCTTTCAGACCGGCCAAGTGAACATACTGGTGAGTCTTTTAAGTCAAACAGACGGGAACGGTCATCTCTGCTATGTGACTGGGAACGAGCTTGTGTTTTCTCATTGCACATAAAGGAAAAATTTACACCAAACTCCTGCATTTGTACCTCAGATATAAGTCTTAACAACACCTCTGTCCCTAAGAATCTTCTTCGGTTTAAACGTTCAGCTTTCATAGCCTGTTCTTCTGATTTAAATCTCACCAGTGCTTCTCCCAAACCAACTCCTTTGTCATCATAAAGCAAATAAATGTCATCCTCAACAAGGGAAAAGTCCGCAAAGAACTTCTGCACTTCAACTTTCGTAACGTCAAATGGAAAGTTTCTTATATATATATACAGCTTCTGCCCAGAGTAGCCTTCTTCAAAGTACTTCTGTGAAACACGCCCAGGCCTTCCTTTCTCTATGGACCCTGGTCTCTTCTTTTCATAGCATTCAATGAATTTCATCATTTGTTTCCTAGAAATTGGATCAATAAAAACTGGCCGATACTGTAAAACAGTCTTATGCAAGCCCAGGGCAGTATTATAGTCTTTTAGATTCTTAAACATCACAAAGGCATACCGTGTTCTTCGTTCATCTTTATATAAGAACTTAATCTGCTCATTAGTCAGGTCAGTATGTTTAAAGAAATTTCTTAAATCTCTTTTGTTAATACTTAAGGACAGATTTTTTAAGTGTAGATAAAATCCAAGAGGGGAGCGAGAACGTGTTCTTCTAGGGGATTTTGAATGAGACCGTTTTCGAAAATGCCTATCATTAACCCCTCTTGAAGGAGAATGGTCTTCAGCTCTCAGACGAGGAATGCCACCACCCGTAGTTGCATTACCACCAAATTCAATCCACTGTTGTTCTGAGCCCTGCATTACTTCTATAAATCTTGAACCCATGAAACTTCTATGGCATTTAAGACCTCCTGAAGCATCAATACATGAAGCAAATTTTACTACAGCATCACCATTATTTCGGCCATCATGATGTTTTAAGAAAATTACTCCATCCACACACAAACCAGAGAAAAAGACACGTACATCATCTTCATTTACTAAGTAAGGCAAACCTCGTAGAAACAAGTAAGGGTTCTCAGCCTTCGATGGCCTGGTCTTTCTTGGCCTTACATCAAGTCCTGTACCATTAGTATGAAACCCAGCATCTTGATTAATTGAAGAGCCATATCCAGAATAACTCTCCTCTTCCTTCATAGCATCAATAAAATGGTACAGGTTGCCAACCCCTGATGCCCCTGATCCCAGTCGCCCTCTTCCTCCACGAACAGTTCTTTGCATTTCTATGGTCTTCTGCATTTCTGCCTTGCTACTAAGAAAAAGCTCTACAGATGAATCCTTGATAAACCCTCCTGAACGACTTATGGCACGTCTCGCATCTTCATCTGTTGCAAAAATAATAAAAGCCTCCCCAACTTTCCCTCCAATTATATGCACTCCTCCATCAGGAATAGTCAATCCCTTGAAGAAGTGACGGATATCCACAGGCCCCGCAATAAAAGGAAGCCCCAGTAAACGGATGACTACAGCCATGCTGAGCTCAAACCACAGCAATAATGACCTGCAGACAAAAAGGTACACATAATAGCAAGTCTTATTTTTGCAGTACCTTAGCGCAAACTAGCTTAATAATTACCTGGTTCCTGCTTCCTTCAGCATTAATAAATGGAAACAAGATACTAGTTCACACACACAAAAAAAAAAACCTTGATCTTATCTTATTCTTAAAGAAAACAAATACTCTTTCTTCTATCTAAACCTACAAATAAACCAACTGCCTTAAAGTAACATTTCACGTCACCTACCCTGTTCAATAGGAACATCAAAAATATCAACTCTTCCTTTTTAAGTCTGCCAAATGCTGTTTCACAACCAAACCAAACTACTTTCAGACTCTTATAAACGTGTCGTCTCCTACTGGCTTGTCTTCCACTAACCACAATAGTTTACAGAGTCAGAAAAGCCATCTATGGTCAGTGTACAGTTCTGCTCAGGATACACAGCCGCCACATAGAGAACAGAAGCAGTGAGTACACAGAAGCACTAATCTAGCTGCTGTTGTCACACTGCTGTGCAAAGCCTGAAACTGATGTCTTACCTTTTCCTTTTATTTCTTGGAGACCTGTTAATTCTGTAAAAGCAACTTAACTGTGGAAAGAAAATGAAATATGATTAATCTTTGAACTCTGTAATTGACCTCAATGCCTGATATCCATTTCAGAATTACCTATTAGAGTGAAACAATATAAAGCATCAAAATTGTGGGCATTAGAAAATGATCTTTTTTGTTCCAAAGGGAACTTGATTATACTTCTGCAAAAAGAGAAATATAAAACCAGAGCAGACAACTTGGAAGTATTAAAAAATAAACATGTATGCTGAAAGTTACACTACTTGATTGGAATTAGCATGAAAAGGTATGAAGGAAATAGATATTTTGAGTGTAGTGTTGGTTACATGAATGTATAAAATATATCAAAGCTCACTGAATTCTATCATAAAGTTAACTCCAGGTTTATCACATGCTGATATATAGAAGTTGTTATGTACTTAAAAATCCATTTTATAAGTAAAACATCAATTTGAAATCAGATTATTTGTAAAGCTCTTCCATCACTTCACCTAATGATGACCCAAACATGCAGTTCAGACTTATGTCCAACTCCCTTGCCATTCTCCACCCTATCAAACATAATACAAATTCCGTAAATTACAAATAGAAACAAATGTGATAACAATACATAAATGTAGTAAGGCAAATACTACAGCATCCCTCAAATTGGAAAAAAAAAAAAAAGTCACTCCTTATCCAATATGCTTACAACAGTGTAGACTATTAAAATTCATCTTAAGCACACACACACAAAAAAACCAAAAAACAAAAAACTATATCAACTTTTGGAATTTTATTATGCCAATAGCCACTTCAAAAAACTACCCTACACTCTTACATTACAGAAACCCTAATAATTATATAGAGAAGTAAACAATATAAAGACTAATTTGAAATATTGGGAATGCTAATATTCATTACTGAAAAAGAAAACTCAACTTAGTATTTAAATGAAACTTGTCTATAGCACTTTCACAGATACCCAAACAATATTTACCAAATAACTTTTAAAATGTGCCAAAGTAATCATTATAATTAATTTTAGTTTGCAAATAAAGTTTTGTTCTCTTAAACTTAAGTACCACTGTGCATAAATATATTCCTTCAAGTTTGAAAGTTTGTCTTTAAGAAGGGGGAGGGAAACCTACTGATTAAACTTCTTAAACTAGAAGTTAATCAATAAAAATAATGGCACACTACATTTTAAAATTGAAATTTACTATTAAAATCTTTGCAGCACATACAAAGAAAGTGTAAGCCTGATTTCAACAAGTTAATATTCACACCCAACAATTCAACGAAAACTATAAATGGCTCCTTGAAACTCTTGTCCACATTCAAATTCCAAGACTCCTATGTAAACTGACTTGGCTGCTTTTTAACTCTAAATATTTTGGGGAACAAATGATTAAGTACCACTTTGTCTGCCCTTAAATTTTTTAAATTCAAAGGGGATGGACCCCAAGGATGTAAATTCAGCTGCAACTACATGAATTCGGAGACATTTCAAGGAAATAAGTACACTCCAAGTTCAAAATGCCGCTCACAACACATCCTAGCTTAAAAACCACCTTATCTAAAAGTGTCTTAACTAAAACCATTTCCATTAAGCAGTTTCACAGGCACAAAGCTATTGAATTCCAATCCAAGAGACCTAAAGTTTGCTCTAATTTGCCAAATAGAAGTTAATGTTTAAACTTCTTTGCTTTTGCCATAGTAGAGCAATGCTATCATTTATCCATAGACAGTAACATCTAGAACATCTCTAAGAGACTCAGAGTATTTCTCACAATACACTATTTCCTTAAAATCTCCAGGAAGTCTACTGACACATTAGATTGCATAAAAGTCAAAACACAAATTATCCTATTCTAGTTTTGAATGTCACTGCACAAAAATCAAAGCACACACTAACCCTGGTTTAGTTATGAATGCCAAAGTGATGAGTGAGGGTGTTGATGTCAGGCCACAATGAACTGCTAGGAAAAGGAAGCCAAGCCCTAAAAATTCATTTAATGATAAAAAGATTTTAAACAACTTTGCTAATTTTACCATGCCATCCTTCCATTTAAATCAGTGTCTTAATTAAATGATCTTAAGTGTGCATCTTTTAATTAAGATTCAGAGAAAAACTGAAGAGCTATAATTTCAGATCCACTTGATTTTAACTATCAAATAAATGCATTTTCCAGACATGGTAAGGGATAGTTTTACTATATTCTCCAACCATGTCTTACTGCCCAGTTATGAAAAACATTAAAATTCTAAACTTGAAATTTTTTTGCAGAAAATCTACCTCAGTCCACAAATAGTCTGTGATAAAATCTGACTTTTATAATGCAGATATCTAAAATTAAAGAAAAAAATGCATGACCACACAGAGCCACAGTCCCCCCGTCAGGAACTGTTAAACGAAGTCGAATCCACAGGGCACAGACTTCTTGTGTCATCCATCATCATCAATGGGGAATCTTCGGAAGGCATCGATTCCACAGCCTGACGCCTTTGTCCAGGCTCCCGAGGATCAGTTTCCTTCTTTGAAAGCCAGGCCAACTTGCTATGTCGGATCCAATACTGTCGCCAGAGTTTGAGCCCAAATTGGCTTTCAAATTAACCAGGACCGCCCAACCAACGTGCCTCTGCGTTCCGCTGTCCCGAGGGCAAATGCTCCACCCCAGCTCGCCCAAAGGGACCGGCTCCCAACCTCACTGAACCGCTCTGCGCCCCTGCAGCCCGAGGAAACGGGCCTGCGGAGCTCTCCCGCGCCGCTACGAACGTGGACATGGCAAAGAAAAGAAATACCTAGGCGAGGCTCCGAGATCTTCGCTGTCAAGAGCCCAGGAGGCGCACACACCATCTCGGGGAGGCTGACGGGAGGGAGTCGGGGTCAGCGAGCGGGACTCGAACCGTACAGGCCGCGCTCGCTCCGGCTCCGCCTGCCCGTCCTTCGGCTCGCACCCTCCCGCCCGGCGCCCCGAGGAGAAGTGCTTCGCCCTGGCACTGCGCACACACCACACACACAGGGGCTGGGACGCTCCCCGTCGCCGCAGCCTCCACACAGCCAGCTGAGCCCCCCGGCGGCCCCGATGAAGATGGCGCCCACACTGCCCTCCCGTCGGGACAAACCGACGTACAGTTTGTCTGCCCATGCGCTCTCCGGGCATAACCCACAACCCAGGCGCCGGGGCAGCGCATGCGCACACGCCCCGCGCCGCTTGCGGTTGTAAGCGGCACCCGGGGCATAAGGAGCTTCTGCGCATGCCCAGTTCCTAGCCAATCCGGGAGCCTGGACCTGCCCCCAGCGAAATTCCCATCTGCAGGAGACCACTGCAAAAATACGCTAATCAAGCAGGTTTCTTCCTTTTTCTTGTCAAGTTAAGGAAAAGGATGCGGACGGAAACTGGAGGTTTCTTAATCCTTCATTGCTTCGGTTCCTGTTAGACCTGAGGGGGAAAAAAAACAATTCCACGACTGTCTGATTAAAGCAAGCTGTATTTAGAACTGGCCAGGCGGCTGCCTCTCCCAGGACTTTCGGAGAGCAGCCCCTCACTGGCTTTTGAGGTCCCTCTTATGGGGAAGGGTTAGTGTTGATAGAAAACAGCTGTGGAGATAATTAACTGTTAGCACCTGGACAGAAGAGTGGGAATTCAGGGCTCAAGCCTGCCTGTGGGGTAGATAAATGCAAGAATATGTCATGTGGAAGGAGTCATCAAGGTATCCAGAAGAAACATTTTTGGCAAAAGGGCAACCATGTATCACAGGTTCAGGAGTTTAGCAAGGCAAGGGGGTGGGCATGCAACATGCAGTCACAAGTTCAGCGTAGATTGACAAACATGGTTTGCAGTCTATATTTGGCTTTGGAAACAGAAACATATTCTTGTAAGGAATGGAGACTTAATAACTGTATAACAATGTGGCTCCTGTGTTGGTTTCACATTTCCACAGATGCAAGCTCTTCTGAAAGGATTTAACTAACATTCAGGAAAGCCACAGTAATGTCCCTTTTACACACACACACACACACACACACACACACGCACAATTTTACACAAGTACAATGTCAATGGCTAAGGGTTTAATAAATAATGCTTAATCAATCTAATAGACATCAGTAATGTTGGTAAGTACCTTTATAAACTTGCTTTCATCTGGAATTTTTTAAACAAAGTAGAAAGACCACTTTGAAAATTGAGAAATGAAAAGTATAATCACAAGCAGGTTCTGTGATGCTTGCTCTGTATTTGGGTTTCCTTAATTACTTGAAAATAACCACGAGATGTACTTATGGGTGGTTTCAAAGCCCACTAAGAAAATAAACACTTTTAAATCTTAGGAGGAAATGAGTTTAATTTCTGTCACTAAATAAAATCCTAAATGATGTGTAGTAAAAAACGAGGTCTCTAACAAGCGAATAAAAGATGTTTTTGGGCCATCTTTAGTTTGCTATTCTAAAATGGGAATAATAGTACGTGCCTCTTTGGTTTGAGAAAAACAATGACAGTGAAAAAACAGTATTAAAAGTCCTGGTGACTTCTTTGAATGTCAAGTTGATCCCAACAGAAGCAGAGGACGTCGTGAGAGGCATGATTCTTGAACTATGAATCAGATAGTTTAATCCTGGCTTTGGCCCTGGCATTTAGGCTCAGAATCCTGATCTCAAAAGCTTACTAACATTTATTGAGGTTTTATGTCCCAGGCCTTGTGCATTATCTCATTTTAGTCTCAGAACTTTGTTCAAATGTAAATACTATTATTTTCCTTTTTTATATATAAGTGAAAATGGGACATAGGGAATTATAAAGCCTTGCCAAGGTAATTGTCTTAGAGTTTTATTGCTGTGAAGAGACACCATAAAAAGGGCTGTATTGCTGTGAAGAGACAACACAACCACAGAAACATTAAATTGGGGCTGGCTTGCAGCTTAGAGATTATCGTCATGACAGGAAGCATTGGTGGCATACAGGCAGACATGGTGCTGGAGAAGGAGCTGAGAGCTCTACATCCTTTTCCAAGGGCAGCAGAAGTGAATGGCACACTGGATGTGACTTGAGACCACAAAGGCCACTCCCAGTGACCACTTCCTCCAACAAGACTTATGGGGTCCGTTTTCTTTCAAACCACCACAGTCATATAAATGGTAAAAGACAAATCCAGGAATTGAGCCCTGATGACTTCTTCAGAGAGCACTACAGAGAGGGATCTGAACTCTTAAGGCATATTCCTTCAGAACAAGCGTACACAATTGGTAATCCAAGTGGCAATGTTCAGCAAAAAGAAGAACCACTGACAAAGCAAAGTTGAGATCAACTCTACACTATATGCTTTCTACACGAAATCAAATTTTTAGAGCACTGCTCTAAATAATGAACACCACATCTCAAAACATGATGCCGGTGGATGGTGAGATGGGTTCAAGTAGTTTTAGAGAAGCCTGGTGACCTCAGTTCAATTCCCAGAACCCACGTACATGAATGAAGAGAACCAGCTCCACAAAGTTGTCCCCTGACCTCCATGTGTGTGCTGTGGCATGCCTGTTCCCTACACACACATACACACACACACACACACACACACACACACACACACACACACACACACAAATATTTGTAAGTGTGAGTCTGTTAGAAAGACATGTAAGTAGGTAGAAAAAGGTCTATTAGGGAAGAGGAAGGAAACCATTGCAGGGTAGAAAGGGACAAGAGGTGAGAATAGACGCCATGTGTGGTTCTCAGTTAAGGCTACTTGTAGTGATCTTCACCCACATTTACAAAAATTTCAACCAAGATTTAAGAAGGATTTAATTTAATAAGGATTTAATTTACCTGTACAAGAATGCTCATAGACTCTCAACATACTTGACAGACATTGCCAGCCTCCAACTACCTCCCTCATTGCTCTGGGCTGACATTGTTCACACATAGTTTCTCCAAATAGGACACGAGAGTAAATGTCTGTATTTCTAGTCCCTGTTTGTCTCAAATGATAATGCCATTATAATACAAAAAGAGAAGTTTTGTCAAGGTGATACCACATGGTGTTCTCATTATTGCACCTAAGTATTTTTACAAACAGAAAACACAGTTTTCAGAACAGCAAAACACAGATCATAAAATAATCACATTGAACTATGGAGAGTCTTTGGTCTTTCCAGATATTTAGGAACAAATCACAGAACTGCTAAATGGATGTCTCAAAATATTGGATGGACCTCCAAGGCTGAGTGACTTTCTGAGTTGTCATGAAGGCTTTGTTTTCAGGTGATTTTATGTCTCAGTTCAGTTTAATCCTGTGAACAACCCTAAATTCCACTTCCAACTTCTTCACCAAGCACTGGACCTGGTCCACATCCACGTCTGCCATTCCTCCCCAACTCAGGAGGTAAGCAAATCTTCTCCCCACACTGTTCACCTCTACTGTAGGACTCACCTACTTCATTCTCTAGCTGCCCCAGAGTTAAGTTTTGCAACTCTGGGGAAGAAGTATCCTGACCACTGGCAGGGTCAGGTGATGGCTGGAACTGCAATGAGACAGTGGCCCTGGAGGGTGAGGTATCCCGGATACCTCAAGCCGCTTAGGACAGCTCTGATGACTAGAGGGCAAGATATCCCAGATACCTCAAGCTGCTTACAGGTATCCCAGATGCCTCGAGCTGCTTAGGACAGCTCTTCCCTGGAGGGGAAGTTATTCTAACTGTTCAGGAGTCAGGCCTGGAGCTGCTAGGACAGGAAGGGTATCCTGACTGTTTGGGAGTCAGGATGTACCTGGTGTGGTGGGGTATGATTTCCCTGCAGGTTATAGCAATCCTGCTCCTCTCATGGAGAGCTGCTACAGCTGAGCTTTACTCAGCCTCCACTTAAGGCGGCTTCTGAGCAGAGCTCTGCTTCTCCAGCCTAAGATGTTGCTTCTTTTGCTTCACTCTGTAAAAGGGGAAACCCTGCAGAACTGTAGCAATCTCCTCGGGTTCCAGAGACAAGTGTTACTTTTTCAGCCCTCCCTTGCTCTGTCTACTATGAGACGTCTCAGCAAGGTTCTTCTCTATGGCAGTGAATGAAGATCTTCACACCCAAAACTCTTTGGAGAAAGAGATTTATTTGGGAAGGAGAATAGCTGCCTCTTACCAAGGTGGAGAGAACAGCCCACAACTGAATAGTTAGGATGGTTTATATAGGATGTCTTGGGGGCAGAGTCAACCAATGATTGGTTAGTTTTTTTCTGCCCAGGGACTGGTCAGTTTTGTGGGCTGGGGAAAGAGGTGGACCTGATTTCAGAGCCAAACTGTGCTTCTTTCATTGGCCTTTCTTGGCTTTTTGACACTACTTCTAAGGCCAGGGCACATTTCTTTCACTGACTCTGATTCTAGGGACCAAGAGTGTTACTTTGGTACTAATTTCAGAATCAGGGTATGTTTCCTTGGTTCTGGGTTTGGGAATAAAGTGTTCATTTCTCTGGCTCAAGTCCCAGACCCAGGCTGTGTTTCTTTCCCTGGTTCTGGGCTCCAGGGTTAGGGTGGGTTTCTTTAGCCAGCCCCTTTCCCTACACCCATGCCAAAATGATTTACTTTTATTTTATAGAATACAACTTTTTTTTTCAAATCTGAAAAGCAACTACCCTTCCAATTACCATGTTATTTCAAAATATTTTGTATCTGTTTTCATGTTCTTTTCTCAGAAAACTGATGCCTGATTTCTCTCATCTCCACTTTGGGCTTTATTTCTGGCTAGATTCATATTTCTTCTTTGGGGACTCTGAGAAAGAATATAGTGGAACTCTAATAGAATCATTGCATCTAGGGTCAACATTAGAAGCAAATAGTTGTTTTCACTCTGTCTAGGGTTAACATCAGAATTAACAGCTGTTTTCTAGAAGTACTTAGACCTTGAAGAAATCATTGAGGAAAACAGTGATTGTTTTCTTCGATCAACAGAGTTGTTTTTCTGAAGGAGTTTTACAGCCTTTGCATGATTTTGGTCACAAGACTATCCTGGCACACTTGGATATCTTGAATTGTCGGGTTCTGCAAACAGTAGGCAGTGAGGACTAAAATGGCTGGGGTGTGATGCTTTCCTCCAGAAGGACATAGATTAGATCAACGACTTTGATATGCAGAACTTGCTTTATCCAAAAACCAACTCTCGTGTAACAAGCAAGAAATAAACCTTTGCATGACTGTTCAAGGCTCAGTCCATCAACAGTTGGACCTCTCTGCTGCAGAGAGCGGAGTTCATCTTGGAGTAGCCCTTTGCCTTCAAGGGACCCACATAGTCGATATTCGATCAGAAGCCAATCTTTCTCTGGTATATTCCTAAGTCATTAAGCCCTATACCCTAGTTTCTGCCACTTTCATGAATGACTTCTGTATCTTAACTGGGTAATATTGAGCAGGTCTCTAGTCCTTGTAAATGAAGATAATTGTACTGCTTGCTCAGGGTTGCTTAAAAAATATTGAAAGGATATATGCATGTTAGGAATTTAGCGGAAGATATGAGCAAGTATTAGTGTGCTTGATTAAAGGGGCAGGAAATACCTGCTGTTCAGCTCCTTTTTTTATTCAGATCTTAAAGTTGAAACTTGATGTCTGGCATATGGCAACCCCCTACAATTAAGAGGGATGACCCAGCACACTAAACAAACATCAGCAACCACATAGCTTCAGACTTAAGGCTTTTTTCACTTAAACCATTATGAATTGGCTTAAGCTGCATGGTCTTTGATTACTTGCAACAAAAATAATCCAAATGATACAATCTCAAATTTATACTTAATGGTTTTAGTTTACATTTTTTCCTAACTTTCTTAATGCCTGGTAAGCCTACAGTATCTACAGTTATTTTGAAGATAATTGTGTTCGTCTATGTCAAGTTCTTGTGCTACAGATAAACTATTTCTTAGAATTTTTGTTAAGTTCAGTGCCCAAAGGTGTTGGAAAGTTGTAATTCTGTTGTAGTTGGTATATAACTTAGCTTCACTATTAGCTAGACATGATGCGTGTAAAGGAGCCCTCTTTTTCTGAATATCTATTCATGTAGCAGCCACTCAATGCAAAGATAACAAGTTTTGGAATGACAAAATAAAGACAAATTTTAGTTCTGTCAGCATCTAACATTTTTTATATTCTCATTTCCACTTTTATTAAAATTCGGATGTACTTCCTCCAAAAGTTGTTATGAAAACTTAAGACTAAAGTTGCCAAGTGCCTGGCACAGTGTAAAGTGTGGGTCCATCATGAAGAGAAACTCTATCATTTTAATTTACACAGTGGACAGGAAGTACATATCATGGCTTTAATCACCTCCAGAGACCAGTAACAAGTACACACCTTATCAAGGAAAACTAGAGTCAAAATGCACCCATGGCAAGTTTTCACACATTAATTCCAACCATTCTAACCCCCCTTCTTATTCTTAACATTTATGTGACCACATGCTTTTAAGTGTATCCAAATAAGTTATTTCCAGCTCAATAAAATAATGTCTCAAAAGCTTTTTTTAAAAAGATTTTTCTCTTTGGGGAACCCCTTAAGAGTATACAATTCTTTTGTCAGACATTCTAGAAACCAGATCAATGTTAGTCTTTTGAGAAAGACACAATGGTAACTTAAGAGTTATCTAACTTCCTTACATGCATTTCCCACAGGCACTGAGAATATATCTATCCATTCCTTTCTAGGGGCAGAACACCTTTTTTTTTTTTTTAAACAAAACTTTACCTTTTCTGAGAAAACAAAAAGCAGGGCAAGCTACTACTGATTTAAAAGAAAAAAATATGCCAAATGATTTTATTAGGGAGAAAAGGATAAAAAAACAACAGTCTAGCAAAAAGTACAGCAAAATAGAATTGAGCTTTAAATATCAAAAAACATTTTTGTCTTGGGACCCATAAATTAGCTATGAATGTAATGCCAAAATATCTTTGAGCTAACAGTCTACTTTGAAAGACACAGGTATGTGTAAATTTGATTTTTAAAACAAGTGAGATGAGATTTATATGAATGGTACTCTGTGTACAAAACAGGGAAAGTAGAAAAACAGGGTCTAGTCGGCAAGGGTTTCCTCCAGACTTTTGTCATAAAGATAGTCTGGTGTTGCATATAAAATCAAAGGGGATTTTGCTGAAGATCAAGCCCAGGACCTGAAACAACTACTACCTTGGTGGGATTTTTTTTTTTTAATTAGAACTATATCTCCTCTGTTGTGAAAAATTATATTGCCTGGATAAACTCGTGTGTGTGTGTGTGTGTGTGTGTGTGTGTGTGTGTGTGTGTGTGTGTGTGTGTGTGTGTGTGTGTGTGTTACCTTCATGAAATAATACTAAGTGTTGTAACTGGATATTTTTTGTTGCTGTAGTATTTTTTCCTGACACCCTAAATTAACTGTGTCCCAGAATACATTTTAAATACAGGTTTACACTATTATTACATTTAATTAATGCCTTATTAATTAAATACATTAAAAAGACATTTGAAATAGCCGCCCCTACTTTAGTCTGTGCCTAACCCATCTTTTCCCGCGTGCGTGGTAACCTAGCAACCAGGCGGGGCAAAGAGCGTTCCTGAACCCAGTTGTCCAATCAGCTCAGCGGACTCCCTAGCGTCACCGCGGAGGCTGCTGGGGAGCCGGCGCCTGCGTACCCGGGAGCGGGTACCATGGTGACGCGTGCTGGGCCTGCAGCGGCCATGGCGGTCAAATCTAGCTCTCCGCTCCCGGCTGGCATCGCGTTCCTTCTCTTGGTCCTCTGCGAAGTCTCATGGGCCCAGGTCTTCTCCTTCCCTTTCCGGCGGCCGGAGGCGTGCGGCCTCAATCAGTACTTCGACATCTCCGCGCTCTCCTGTGAGCCCTGTGGCGCCAACCAGAGGCGGGATAGCCTAGGTGAGGCCGTTTGGGATGGATGGACCCTGACCAAAAAGACACACTCTTGACACAATAGTATTTCCGAAAACTCACAGCTGCCATGCCTAAGAAAAGGGTTTCTGGGAGGATTGCACTGGCCCACTAATAAGATCGGGAACTCTGGTCCCACCACTCCACCTTAACCAGGAACTCATTTCCAGGGCTCAGTCCCTGGAATGGAATCCTTAGGATAGTACCTGGAAAGCCTTCTAACAAAAGTAGGGTAGAAATAGTCAAGAGGACCCCGACAGGAAAGAAAGAGGGGAAATGTGAATTTCTCTTGTGACCCTACTCCCAAATTTAAGAAATTGAGAGTTGTAGGCGACCTTAACTATGATCAGATTCTGTACACTGTACTCATGAGGAAATTGAAACCCAGATTTTGTGATATTTGTATGGTGTACACTGGAAGTTAAGAGAGCTCTTGTCTCTTTTTCCCTCTCCATCTGTGAATTGATCACAGGTTTCCTTAGGACCTATCCCTTTTATTGTTGATTGTTACTGTTTCCACCTAATTTCTTTTTAGACTTAGGTTAATCTTTCTCCTAAATTGCATCAGTTTGTCTAGTTCTCACGGAAACTACTCAGAATAAGTTTTTTTTTTTTTTTTTTTTTTTTTTTTTTTACTAAAGTCTAAAAGCTTTGAATCTCAATTTGGCTAACTGTCATCTTTAGATCTCAATTCAGTCATTGAGCAGTGCAGAGCTGGGTGTCTGGAGAGGAAGTGTGAGAGAAAACGTGTTCTACATTGTATTTGTTCCATGGTTATGAAGAAAGGTGTGTGTGTGTGTGTGTGTGTGTGTGTGTGTGTGTGTGTTGTACATAGACTCCTATGGGTGCTGTTTCTGCTTAGGGACCTTAGAGCTTAATTATCCAGCAAGTTCAGTAGCAAATACCATACACTATTTATTGTCTTTCTCAACAAAGAGTAACTGGGTGAAAATAATTTTCCAATAAGATATTGACAAAATTCATTAAACACACATGTATAATTTAGTGACAAGAAAATAGTTTTCATAGTTTCATAATAATTACAATTTAAATAGCAACATAATACCAGAGGTATTTCTAAGTCTTGACGCTATTAGTTAGGTAGTGTTATTTTCTCCATTTTCCTAAGTAAGAAACCAAGGTCTAAAGTTTAGTGACCCACTCAGTGTTCCCACTCACGCACACACGCACACGTGTGCACACACACGCACACGCGTGCACACACACTGCACACACATGCACACACACGTGCACACACACATGATGCCCAGACTGGCCTCCCACTCTCTGTGTAATGAGGATAACCTTGAACTCCTGCCTGATCTTCCTGCCTCTTCCTCTCAGGTGTTGGGGTCACAGACATACACCACCCTTCCCAGCTTCAAGATCTTAAGAACTGTTAAGTTTCCTTGTCTTGAAATTTTATTTTCTAAGGACAAAATTGGCTTTTTTCCCTTTCAGGAACTTCATGTGTATGTCTACCAGGATATCGTATGATCTCTAATAATGGAGGACCTTCCATTATTTGTAAAAAGTGTCCAGAAAACATGGTATGAAAAACTTAGTTTAAAATAACTTTTGGGAAAAAAGTAATACATGTCTTTCTCTCTTAAACTTCAGTATAATCTTTCCCATTTCTCCACAACTTTAAAGTTATTAAGCTAACTTTATTATTGCACATTTGAGAGATCAATAAAACTACATGAAAACTTCAGGGAAAAAGCAGAAATTCATTTTGTTATGAAAGTGTTTGAGTCAGATATCCCAAAGTACCAAGCTGTGAAAATTGTTTCTGTTTTCCTCATAGAGTAACTCGGATAGAAAGAAGAGAAGGTGAGCATTACATACATAGAGCAATTCAGGGTGGATCTGTGATATAGATGGCTTAGACCTATGGTGTCAGGAGTCTCACATGATGATTGATATTCATAATGCTATGCAAAGTGCAATAAGTTTATGCAATGCCAGTTGCATCAATAAAAATTCAAATATGTTTTGCAGTTTGGTTAGTCTCTTCATTATGTACTGATTTGGGGAAATTTAATCAATTAGGTGCTTCATAGGCTATTTTTCAATTAATAGAAATATATTTTCCTTTCCAATCAGTTTAGCTAATTGGGAGTCTTTTTAATAGTTCTGAGTTTTATTGTAATGTGTCTTATTCTATTAGTCTGAGAATCCATTATCATTAGCAGTTATCCTCTGAACTACTCATCCTGTAGATCCGGTTGCCATATTTATATTTAGTCCATATTTTGGAAGTTCTAGTCATAGCTGAATGACTGATGATGAGAGCCGTGGATAGAATATAGTTTCGGGGCAAGTTTATTTTCCAGTAATATTAATGATGCTATTGTAGTTTTTTTTTTTTTTTTGGTTTTTCGAGACAGGGTTTCTCTGTGTAGCTTTGCGCCTTTCCTGGAACTCACTTGGTAGCCCAGGCTGGCCTCGAACTCACAGAGATCCGCCTGCCTCTGCCTCCCAAGTGCTGGGATTAAAGGCGTGCGCCACCACTGCCTGGCACTATTGTAGTTTTTAGTGTTAAACAAGCAGGCCAAATGTAGAAACATTTGTGAATAAGTCCAGTCTCTTCAACAAAGTCTAATTGGTGTCATTATTTTGATTTTAGCATTAGTCTCTATGGATTTCAGTCATAACTGTATTTTTTTTTTTTTCCGAGACTATATTTTTAATGACTTATTCCTGGTTTGTCCTAAACCATGTGATATGAGAAGGTCAAATCTTCATGATATCAAACTTTAAAACCTTTGCTAGTCCACTTTACTAGATAAGTATTCTATTGAATTCTCTTGAATCAAATTAATAACTGTATCATTGGAATCGTAACTTAGATTTTAAAGGCCAATGAACTTGAACTTTTAAACATTAGAATATTGTGGAACAGATAACAGTAAACTGATAACTGGCTTTTTATTTATTAAATTCTCTTGAGTTTTGTTGTATTTTATATTTGTGAATGCAAAGCTGACAATTAATTTTGAATTTATATGATCAATTTAAAAGGAAGTTAATTAAGAAGAAAATCTATTCTTTTTTTTAACTTTAGAAAGGCGTTACCAAAGATGGCTGGGACTGTATTTCTTGCCCTAGTGGCTTTACTGCTGAAGGAAAATGCCACTGCCCTACTGGTCATATATTAGGTAAGAACAGTATTTACAAAATAGTAGTGATGAATATTTATTTTTGTTTATTTTGTAAAGGACATCAACTTAAATGCTTTGTAGTTGTGTAAAAAATTATTGTAGCACAAAATTTCATGATGCTTAACACAGCAGACATTGAGAAGAAATTTTTAAGAATTCTTCCCAATTCAACATTAGATGGGTATTTCCTTAATAAAACATACATAAAATATACATATCTCAACTCCAAAGTCAATATGATTCTTTTTAATTTTTAAAATTACACTTATTTATTTATGTGTGTGCATGTGCACATAAGCCCTTAGATGTGCACCTGCGTAGTGCGTGCTTGTCTTGAGTTGAGGGGACACCTTGCAGAAGTCAGTTCTCTCCTTCCACTGTGTGGGCCTCAGATAGTACTCCAAACCATCTTGCTGGCTTTTTTTTCTTTCCTTTGAGACAGGGAATCTAGATAGCCCTGGCTGTCCTGGAACTTGTTTTGTAGATCCAGCTGGCCTTGGACTCACAGAGATCTTCCTGCTTCTGCCTCCCAAGGACTAGGTTTAAAGGTGTGCACCACCAGACATGACACTCCTTCCTGAGAGGGAAAAGAAGTAAGCATGTTCGCTAATGTCAGTACCTGGAAAAGGATAGAAACTCTTGGACTCAAGTAAAGTCAAAAGTATTCTTAGGAAAGAAAAGATTTTTTTTAAGTCATTACTTGAATATAAAGTCATTGTATGTTTGGAAAACCCAAGGAAATCATTAAAAATTCCTATAAACCCAGAGTTTAAGTTGCAAAATTAATATTCAAAAGTTATATTCTATATAAAAAAAAGAAGTCATTAGAAAATGTGATGTAAGAAAATAAAGAATGAATCAAACTTTAGAAGAAATGTACAAGATAAATTAATTGAAGATATATGTAAATGAGCTTTGAAAGAAGGCCTTTTTTTTTTTAAGCTAAGACAATTTTCATTAGAGTTTGAAAGGAAAACACCTCAGGGCAGGTAAGCTGCAAATCTGTAAATCTTGGCTGCTGCCCAGAGGAGGAGGCTTGAGGAAGGAAGGGGAAAGCCATACGCGCCATGCTGCTGAGTTGAGCTGACTCCAGGTCAGCCATGGGCTCTGGCCAGCATCAAAAACAGATAAAGGAAAGAAAGACTGAGGTCAGATGAACGTCATGCAGCTTGAGAGGGAGTGCCCAAAGCAAGCCTTAGTAATGAAAATACACTCTTCGTATTTGGTGGAGAAGATTAAATAGAAAATCTATCATCTGTCCTACCAGGCTGTATATTAAAGAATGATATTAATAATAAAATCTACCAGGATTTATTTGTCCCAGACGATACACAGATCCTCAAGTTTATATACAAAATACATGAGAATTCTGAAAGAGGAAACTATACTGTCAGATATTTTGTATGTTTTTTGCTTTCAACAGCAGCATGTGTGGAACTTAAGACAGAATTAAAATGAGTCCAATCATTTGTTATGCACCAACCATTTGGTATGAAGAACTGGCATTATCAGTAAGGATGAGACTGATTAACTGGTTAATGGTGTTAAGAAAACTTTGAATTGGGTTTCTACCTCAATCTTTAAATTCCAAGTAAATCCAATATTTAAATATTTACTGTAAAACATGAAAATTCTTAAAATAAAGACAAACTTACATTCTTTGTATGTAAATCTTTCTAAGTATAGAAAAACAACTCTAAAGCCAAAGATGGGGAAATTGATAAATTTGATTACATAAGACATGTAGATGTCATAAAATAAAAGTCCCCAAATCCAAGGCTGAAGAGATGGCTGAGTGGGTTAATTTAAGTACTTGAGGACAAACATGTGGACCTGAGCTTACATCCCCAGAACCCATGTGAAAGCCAGATGTGTACACACATCTATAATGCCAGCAGGAGTGGTGTGTGTGTGCGTGTGTGTGTGTGTGTGTGTGTGTGTGTGTGTGTGTGTGTGTAACAACCTGGATCCCAGAAACTTAATGGCTAGCCAATCTACCTAAAGTGTGAGCTCCAGATTTGGCAAAAGACTTTGTCTGAAACAATAGGCAGAACATTATAAAGGAAAGCCATTTGACGTTTGGTCTCCACACACCCATGCATAGTCACACCTACCCACCTACACAGAGTACCTAGAACCTAACTGCAAACTAAAGAAATTTTCATAATGTGGACAGCATTTAGAGGTCCAAATTATTCAGTAAATATAAGGATCATCCTACAAATTATTGAGTAAGATATATAATGTTTTTACTTTTTATTAATTAAATTTGTTGATTGGACAATTTTGTACATGTATATAACGTATTCTAATTATAATTATACTCAGCCTCCACCCTCTTTTATCTCTTTGCACCCTTGTAAATCCTCCCTTCTCCCTACAAGTGGGATGTATAGTATCTTGTTTGTTTTGAGGCAGGGTCTCATGTAGACCAGGTTGGCAGACTCACTGTGTAGTCACAGATGTCCTGAATTTCTGATGCCCCTGCCTCTACTTCCCAAGTGCTGGGATGATAGGCATGTGCCACTTTGCCTGTGGCTTACAATTTTTTAAATAGTAAAAAATCACAGAATTCAGAGGCTAACTCTATTATATCTTGAAAAAAGCTAATCATAGGTATATCACCCTTCTGCTATTTTGGACATTTTGGTTCTGCTCTACCAAATACCATATAACCAAATACAATCCCATATAACCAAATACAATAACCATCTGGTGAAGACTGTTTTGTGCTGGTGTAAGTGCTTCTGTAGGTTTTGCGTCTAAAAATCAAGTCTAGTGCTGGGGTATATGAGTTGGAGGTTATTAAAAGTCCTCCCATTTATGGAAACTGGCCAGCAATCTATGAAGATTATATGTTTCCTCATCCCAGTGTGACAGGAAAGACGTTAAGAAATTTTGTTTAGGAAAAATGTTGATTTACTGTTATAATCACTTAGAAAACTGGTTTCTGTATGTTTTCAGTTGGAGTGGGGAAGATTTTCCTTGTATACTTCATATATACATGCTTGATATGCCTTTCAAGCAAATGATGTTGCTTTGAGAATTATTATAATACTAATAATTACACATTTATGTAAATATCTCAGAGTATATCATATGATATTCATCATTTTTCTTGTGTTTTATACAGTGGAAAGAAATGTCAGTGGGTCTTTGTTATCCCAAGCTACTTGTGAGCTTTGTGATGAAAAAGAAAACTCATTTACAAAAGCCAATGTGTTAGGAACCAGGTAAGTGGTATACTAAAACCTGACTTCCTTAACAGCATCCTGTTTTTATGTTCTAGCTGTATATCTCAAAAAAGTATGTGAATAGACATTAAAGGAGCTGAGACTCAGAAGTCTTCAATTAGCCTTCTACTAGTGTGACTAGGTAGTCACAATCCCTTGGATTTAGAATGGAAATATACTCTTCACTTCATAGGTTTCAGAAGCTGTCCTGCCTCAAAATAAATATGCAAAAGTCTTAGCATAGTGCTGTAGTAAACTTGTACTTAAGCTATAGAATAGTATGTATAAAGTTTGGTTCGAAAACCATTTTATATTACAGTGTTATGTAGAAGGGTGTCTTGCTTAATGTTGTTTTGCTGTGAAGAGGCACTGTGACCATGATAACTTTTATAAAAAAAAGCATTTAATTAGGGGCTTGCTTATAGTTTTAGAGGCTTAGTCCATGATCATCATTGTGGGAAGCAGACAAAGCATACACTGGAGTAAGAGCTGAAAGCCTTATATGCTGGTCTTCAGGCAAAAGGCAAAAAGAGAGACTGGGCCTGGCCTGGGGTTTTGAAACCTAAAAGCCCATCCCAGTGACACACCTCCTCCAATATGGCCACACCTTCTAATCCTTCCCAAACACTTCCACTCCCTGATGACTAATCATTCAAATATATGAGCCTATGGGGGCCATTCTCATTCAGTCCAGCACAAGGGCATATTAATAAATGTTGTCATAATTCAAGTACACTGATTTGTGGCCCAATTTTGTATTGCTTCTGTTCCCTTTTTATGTGTGCATTTACCACATGCACATAAATTCATAAGCACATCCCTTTCTCTATACATTCCTCTAGTGTAAACATATTATACCTAGTCCAGCATTTTCAGAAGTGTGTGTTGATAACTTACCTCTTGGCACTGTTTTTCTCTTTTTTTCTTAAGTTTATTGTAGAAGGTAACAGATCTCCTTGTGAAACTGGGCAGCAAGTTATTTCCTCTCTCAGACTGACTGGAGCTCCCAGGCGGACTGATTTATAAGATTCCCCTCTAATGCTCCCCCAGCCTGCTCTGAGTTTCATGCTGTGCTGTAGCCTGCTTCTTAACCTGTCTGTCTCCTAGGTAGTTGATGTCCATGTGAGCCCATCTCAGTCCCCACTAGTCCACACCACTCTCGCCACCTCTTTCCTTAGTTGAAAACAATAGAAATGATAGACTAGTGTTCCTGCAGGTTCAGTGAAATGCTAAACACGCATGTGTTCTCAGCTCACACTGAAAAGGTGTGTTTGATATGCCTACATGTGCAAATTGATTAGTGCCATTTATATGAGTTTGATGGGCTCTGTTAATGATTCTATAATCTTTGCTATTTAATGTTACTCATGCTATACATTCATGTATGTAGTTAAGAAAATGGTCCTCTATGATTAGCCAGTTTCGTTTATACTTTACCTTATAATAATGATGTAAAACTCTTCAAAGCCCGGCTAGTGTTTTAAGCTTATATAATTAATTACTTAGTTGACTTACTGTGCTCTGATGTGTCATTAGGGGAGAGAAGGTCTCAGTTACATTGGGCTCGGTGTCACTCATCAACATTTTAAACATGATTTTTATTATATTGACCAGGTGTGTGCGCTGTGAACCAACGTTTGTGAACACCAGCAGGTCTTGTGCATGTTCAGAGCCTCACGTTTTAGTAAGGACAATCAAGGGGGTGAAGTATGTACCAGTAGATACTTTATTCAATAGATAAACCTTTCTATAATTAGATATTTTTCTCTTATTAATTTGTGAAGGCAGGTGGATTATGTTTCAGCAACACAGGGAATTTTCATCAACGTGTAATTTCCACAGCACGTTATGGAGAGCTTGTGAGTATTTTTGGTTCTTTTTTTTGCTTGCTTGGTTTAGAAAAGTTGTCCTGCGTTTCTTCCTCTGATTAATTTCAGACAAACTGAGAAATCTTTATGTGTAAATCACTTTAAATACAAATAGCTAAAGCCACGAGTCTGACAGCCCAGCACTATATTTTAAAAGGGCCCTCCCTTCTGTACTTTAGCTCCTCCTGTTAATTTACATGTATTTACTTTTTCACCTAATTAAAACTAAAATTGCTGGGAGGTGGTGGCATACACCTTTAATCCCAGCTCTCAGGAGACAGAAGCAGGTGGATCTCTTTGAGTCTGAGGCTAGCCTGGTCTACAGAGTGAGTTCCAGGATAGCCAGGCCTACACAGAGAAACCCTGTCTCGGGTGGGGGGGCAGAAGGGGGAGGGAGCATGGAGTATAATTTTTTCAAGAAGTCACAGCAATGTCTTTTTTTTCCCTGAAATTGCCAGGCTTTTAGAGGTTATATCCTCTTATATTTTCCACTATGAGATAAGTCCTCAGTCTTTCGCAGTCTTTCATGAAGTTGACAGTTCAGGTTCCAAGGCTTACCATCTGTGGGACAATCCCAGCCTGTGTCTGTCCTGTCTTTCATCACATTCAATGTATGCTTGCTAGAAAGCCAGTAAAGAAACAAATAGTGTGCTCAACTCAGTACTTGACGTCATGTCAGAGAGGATACGGAGTCTGTCTACCTCTCCCATCCTGATCGTTGATTTTGAACACCTGCCATGAAGTTATCATGAGTACATTAAACTCACCGTTTCCTTTGTAATTGAAGAGTGCTTTTTGCTGTTGTTTGTTTGTTTGTTTTTTTGAAACATGGTTTCTCAGTAGTTTTGGTGCCTGTCCTGGAACTCACTTTGTAGACCAGGTTGGCCTTGATATCACAGAGATCTGCTTGTCTTTGCCTCCTGAGTGCTGGGATCGAAGGCTTGCGCCACCACTGCCCGGCTGATGAGTGATTTTTTTGAGGAGAACTTTTCCCATCCAAGGACTGTCTAGGCCCGACCCAGTTTAGCTTCTGAGATGAAGCCCAGTCAGACTGGTATGGCTGTAGATGGTGTGAGGAGAATTTCAAAGGTTACACTACACTGGCTCTTTCTTAATGTACTAGCTAGTCTCCTTTTGTGATTTTTCCCTTTGACAGCCTTCCATGTTTATTCATTAATAGTCTGCCATAAAGAACATTTGTGTATGTGTGAATATATGTGTGTGAGTATAACTGTCCATGTGTGAATATGTGTGTGTATAACTGCATGTGTGAATATGTGTGTGAGTATAACTGTGTATGTGTGAATATGTGTGTGTGAGTATAACTGTGCATGTGTGAATATGTGTGTGTGTGAGTATAACTGTGCATGTGTAAATAGGTGTGTGTATAACTGTGCATGTGTGAATATGTGTGTGTGAGTATAACTGTGCATGTGTGAATGTGTGTGTGAGTATAACTGACCATGTGTGAATATGTGTGTGTATAACTGACCATGTGTGAATGTGTGTGTGTGTGTATAACTGACCATGTGTGAATATGTGTGTGTGAGTATAACTGTGCATGTGTGAATATGTGTGTGTGAGTATAACTGTGCATGTGTGAATATGTGTGTGTGAGTATAACTGT